AATGGAACAGAAAACTAGATGGATTAAAGAGTACTTGTTTTTCTTCCTCTCCAGCATCCTAAATTCAATATAATGCAACTTTGTTGTTTTGTTTGTACAGATCTAGTTGCTTGCTTGGTCAGGAATTTCTGTCCCAGCCTTCTTCAGCTACTAACACTGCTACTGCCGCTTGCATTCTTTTCATATTATGTATACAATGAATTTGTATTATCTATTGTTTGTTCTAAACTTCTGACTTTATTTTGCCAAGGCTATCTGGTTTTAAATTAGTAATTTTCACTCCCTCATGCAATTCTTCTAAATTACTTTTTGGAGTACTGGCTATTAATATTTTAGGTGGCTTTGATGTTTTACTTTATAGTCTTCAATTTTATTTTACATTTCACAGGTTCCTAGTTGCAAATAATCCTACAGGCAATTTTCTCACATTGCAACTATTCCTTGAAAGATATGCTAATGTAGCAAGGCACTTGCAATGCTGGGGGTTAAGTTAATCACCCAAAATGAGCCATATTACTGTCAGTGGTATATAAAGACATCCCATAGTGAAATACTAGGCAGACTAGCATTAAAGCTCCTTTATAAAATACCAGAACCTGAAGGTGTGCAGAAATAAGCATTCATTTAAGAATCTATTGAGCTAAGGAATCTGTTTTTTGTTATTTCTGGACTTGAAGGTACCAAGCAAATAGAATGTTTGTGTATCCCTTAAAAAACCTGAAATATTGTTTGACAAGCCTTTGTGAATTGAAAAAGAAAAAAAGCACTAGTAATTACTGTCTTTATGTGAATATATTTGTACAGAAAAAGGAGTTGCCTGCTCTCTGTTCTCACTAAGCAGGGTATCTAAAAAATAAACAGATAGGTTAGATTGTATCATTTAGACTGAAAAATTGAATGATTCTCATAGCCTTAGACTTATTTGCAAGTAGCCAGAAGATATATGCAATAGACATATATGTTAATTTATTCATTATATAGTATAATTCACAATATGTGTTTAAATAGTGCTTCAAAGAGACATTTTAGGCTCCTACATAGTAAATGTTTGCCAGATATTCCTACCTGTCCCCTAGAATTCCCAATGAAGTAAACTTCAGCTAGGATCCATTGGGATATGAATGATGAACCTTTTATCCAGAGAAATAGAACACTGTGCTGGAAATGTACCCTGTGCACATAGAACTAACCAGATGCTATCAAACAAGGTGTTCCTCTGCTCCAGCTGAGCACAAAGAAACATTTAGCTAGGCAGGCTGAAGAACACAGTTAGGATCTTCTGCCAGGTCTGATTTTTGTTGGTTGCATCATGTGCAATGCATCAGCACTGTTCTGTATAGACAGCAGATTAAGGAGTTCTGGATAGTCTTAATCTGTTCTGTCAGAAGGGTACTTTCTCAGCAGACTGACTGTTAGAGGGAGGCAGAGGTACAGTTCAGGGCTGCATTTTAAAACACCAGTACAGCAGTACTTGTAAGGATCTAGATTTCTGTTTCTTGTCTGGAAAAAAATTTGAAATAAGTTTTAGTTGCATTGTAATGATATGCATTTTTATGGGAACAAATGTATTTCAAAGCAGAAAGGATAGAGAGCGTGCAGGAAAGGTTTACGTGGAGCACTGTATTTATTTGCCATGCATATTTGATATGCGTTCATTAAGTACGCAATAGAAATGTCAACATAAAGTGCTGTTTAGATTCACCTATAAAAACAAACTGCATTGGTATTAAAATTGGAACACACTAATCTTTGGTTAAATACAAGCTTTATTTACTATCCAGCAAAGAAATGTTTGGTTGAGTGTTGTTAAATAACCATATACTTAACCTAATTTAATTTGCCCTTCATTTATAAAGTCTGATAGAGTGATACTGTGTCAGTGTAAGCAGCATTTCACATACTATCATCTGCCATTATATGGTTTTACTTTCCACTCTCACCCTTGACGTTCAGTCACTAAAATTATCACCATCCCATACCTAACTTGAAAGTATTTTTGCAGGCTTGCTGAACCATGGCAAATCCTTCTCACAAAGAGGAAAAAGCATCCATCTCTTCAAGGAATATTTTTGTATGGCGTACAGTCATATAACATAACTACAACAGATAAATCTCTTCACTAGTAACATTTGAGATAGATGCCCCCATTTGTGAGTTGGAAGTGACAACTGAATTGTAAATATTCCTAAATCAGGGTATTTTGGTTTCGGTTGGAGTTTGTTTGGTTTGGTTGCATTGGGTTTTTTCTGGTCTATCTATGCTGACTTGAAAAGTTGTTCCTTTCAAATGACTGGACTCAGGCTTTTAAACAGTATTTATAATGATGGCTTACATATACTGAAAAGATTCTTCTTCAGTGATCACTGGAAAAGTAGTTTTAATCATGATATCCAATCGGGAATGCAAAATACACCTATAAACAGGATTGTCACAGAAACCTTACCTGGAGCAGCAGTTTATAGGGAGCTTTAAATTGGGGTTGCATAAACCTGCAGCATAATATTATCTCTTCCTTATGGCCTTTGCAATTATTTTGTTCTCTGTAATACGATCATGAATGTTCCTACTGCCTATGTATCTACTATTTTGGGAGGAGGTTTACTGCACTATACTATTAACTTAATTTTAGAAGGCGTTCCATAGGTGTATAATTTATCTAAAAACTGTCTTTCTACAAGTCTTTCTGTAGGTTTACCCACCAATCATTCAAGTGCTGCAGTTTAATGCAGAGAAACCTGAGCTAGATTTAAATTTAAACACTGGTAACAGTCTAACCAAGGCAGCGCTGAGCTCAGCTCAGCCAATTTACTTTACTGAGAAGCTGGGTAAATTAGGTCATGCTGAGCTCTACACTGCCATAGGTGACTGCTGGCAGTACCCAGGCTCACTAGTTTAAAGCTAGTACGAGTACCTCTGTGGTGGGCTGCAGTTGTTGCTGGTGTACTCTCGCAGTACAGTGTATGCATACACTTAAATCTTTGCTTTTCTGTTTCAGTGGGTGTCTGTTGAGTATATTCCATGTAAGAATTTCCTAATTTTCTTGCTCTGATGTTATCGTTACATTTTTTATCATATCTCATTTTCTGTCTCTTCAAAATAAAACAAAACAACACAACAACAGTTCAGTTTTTGGTTTTGCCTTTAGCCTTTTCCAGTTCTGCTGTGTGTTTTGAGTTGGGAGCAACCAGAGTAAGTGTGTTACCTCCTTCCATGTGCTTCATACTGTTGTCTGTACATGCCACATGTGAATGCCTTCTGTCTAAAATAAATATCAACATGGTGCCCCCACAGGCTTTAGGGAGAGTTAGTTAACATGATGCCATGGTGACTGCTTCTTCTCCCTGGTGTGTCCTGACCTGGTATCCTGAAGGATGTACATATCACACATGTTCCAGAACTACAAAGGAGTTATAGCATACACAAGATATGCTGAGAGAAATTACATTGACAAGGATAATCAGAAATAAGTTTTGAAATAATTAAAAATATCAAGAATAACTCTCCAAATGTTGCTATGCCTTTTTTTAATCTTCTCTTCCTGTTCTCATATCTTTGTCCTTTTCTACTCTGGCCACTCTGACTCTGACTCTTTAAAAATATGCTTTGATTGATACAGCATCCTCTGAGCTCATTAAAAGCACAGAAGTGATATGCATTGCTTGTGATAGAATAATGCAGTACATATCTTGGTACATGAGAAATAGAAAGGAAAAGTAACACAAAATCTGTCTCATTCAACAAATTTATTACAGTTATCTGGGTTTTTTTTAAATAGCTGGTGAAATAGTTACTACTCTGAAAGGGGCCAGACAGGTATACAAACATGCAAGTAGATCTCTCTTATTGGTTTGGAGGACTGATGGAAAATTATCACTCTTGGCAAAAATTCTAAACCTTATGAGAGGAGAAGGACACAGAAGAAAAGCAGTACTGTATTTAGGGATTTCATTACATCCTTCATTAAAGATCAGAATGAAAAAAACCAGGATTTTAATAATGAGGTATAATTAAAAATAATTAGACAATTAGAATAAATGCCTCATTAAAATAATGATATTTGTGTGCTACATAATAATGCTTGTTTTTAACTCATTCAAAAATATGGAAGTTTTGGTCAATATGTGAACTCCCAGAAATGCTCTTCTGTTAAGGGTGACTTTTATCCTAGCCCTAAGCAAGGACCAGCCTAGACTGTGTGACACTGGTGGGCACTGCAAGCTCTCACCACTCAGAGGGACTCAGCATGTCCTTCAGTTCAGATCAGTAAGGACCATACCCCTTAGCTGTCCTGAATGTTTTTTTGGAAATAATGATGTGAATTTTGTCACTTTAAAAATGGTCTTTTGGGGAAAATACCAACAGTTAATGGGTGTTGGAATGAGAGCAACATCCTGCCCTCCAGGCTTTTTCATGGAAGAAAAGTATTTCATTGCCATTCAAAATGACCAGAGACATATATTTGTTCGCATTCTCGTATCACAAACACCTAATCAAAATGGTATGAAGAGACAGGGAAAGCCATTACCAAGATGAACCCAAATATGCCTGGTTTCAACCTGAGAGAAATTTGTAGCCTCAAGTTATAAGCCACTGAAAATAGGTGTTTATAATGGAAGTGCCATCTTAACCTTATCTGTAGTGGCACTACTGCTTTGCTATAATATCTCCTCTCCTAGCATCTGTGAAATTGTAATCTGTCCTACGGCTGGTAACTGAGGAGATGATGAAACCCAGGGATACGCTCTGAACTACCTTAATTTATCTGTACTAGGTTTTTACTGACACATAAAAAGGGAAGGTGAGCAGGGGGTGAGGGGCTGATGTCAGGCAGCTGAGTGCCTCAGACATGCTTGGGAGAGAGGGAAACAGAGCACCAGGTGACTGCATCAGTCACCAGATTACCTTTTTATACCTCAATATTTTTTTCTTTTTCTGCAGCAAGCATGGAACAAAATTGTTCATGATATTTGAAGGTTTCATCTATAATATTTGTTTTTTAGCCTAGTGGACCTGGAAGAAGGCCAGTGTAGGACATCATGGTCCTGCTAATGATAATGTTATCTCTGGAAACTTTCTGCATTACTCAGCATTATGCTATCCAGCTGCCAAATAGTGGTATGTGCTACACTGATTCTTTGTAATTAAAATAGCTCTTCCGTTACTGCCTCTATCATTTAGGCATGATGAGAGAGACCTTTAATGGTATCTTAAAAAAAGTCATGGTAAATATTTTTGTTGCATAACTATCTTGATATTTTTGTCTCCTAAACTGTGTGTTGCCTTACCTGACTTCTTTGTAAATTGGCCAGTTGTATCTTTACTCACACAATTATCTTCAATGGCCAAAAAAAAATTAATTTCTTTTTCACACTGTTATGTTTCTACCATTAGCTCACAGTAATGTTCAAGAATGCAGGATCTGAATCCTTGGAAGTGTTCTTACAGAAATTAACCATTTTTCCATTTGAACAAGAACACATAAATATTGGTGGTACGGGTGATGTGAGCCTTGACAGAAGTCAGGATTTTAACTTTTGGCAAAGATAGCTTTGCTTATAACTCGAGTAGTATCTCATGTCTTTACCTGGTGAGAGGACCAGAGAAGGTAGAACTTCAGTCCTGCTATTAGTCTGCAGAGCTGTTCAGACAAATCTGGTAAATCTTTGCTTTTGATTCTCTACAGGAAAAAGGAATTGGCAGAAATTTCTGTTATCCAAAATCCCTAAGAATATTCCACTTAGTATATCTTTCTGTACCCATATTTCATATGCATAACATGGACTGCTAGAATGAAGGGCCAGAGGGGGTCTCTTTTGTGCACTATGCAGTGCAGCATGTACCTAGCCCTCTGGCCTCATTCTCTCAGAAATTACCCTTGTTAATAATCTGCTTTATCCTTGCATTGCCTTCTGATTCTCTTACAGCTCGGTGAGTGCTCTTATTCTGGCTAATGCAGATACACAGCAGTCATCAATGATTTCTCAGCACTTCACATTATTCAGACTTCTGCTAATTCTGGGAACTATTTGACTATCAGGGACTAAATTTGCCTGAGGGTGTGTCCTGGTTTCATCTGGGATACAGTTAATTTTCTTCCTAGTAGCTGGTACAGTGCTGTGTCTTGGATTTAGTGTGAGAATGTTGATAACACACCACACTGATGTTTTAGTTGTTCCTAAGTAGTGCTTGCCCCGATCAAGGACTTCTCAGTCTCATGATCTGCCAGTGAGGAGGGGCACAAGAAGCTGGGAGGGAGCAGAGACAGGACACCTGACCCAAACTAGCCAAAGGAGTATTCCATGCCACAGAATACCACAGAACATCATGCTCAGGATATAAACTGGGGAGAGTTGGCTACCAATTGATACTCAAGAATGGACTGGGCATTGGTCAGTGGGTAGAGAGCAGTTCTACTATGCATTACTTGTGTTTCTTCAGTTTTATTCCCTGTTCAAGACATGGAACGTGGAGCTCTCATTTGATGTGAAAAGAGCAGTTTTATTTCCTATACACAGATGAAATTTATTTTATTTTCATGTACACTAGTCCCATATATTTTTTTCTGAAATAAAGAGTATAAAAGGTTCTGAAGACCAGTATAAAATAGGAGGTATTTTGGAAAAATACTAAAAGGGAGAGGGACATAAATATAAAATGTTTTCACTTTTAGGCCAAATTTAATTGTCAGGAACATTCAACACAGAGGTTGAAGTTCATTAGTTTCACAAGGATACGTACAGACTCTTTCACATAATTGAGTCTTGTAACAATGTTTGCCTAATTATCAGAAGACTGTTTCAAACTGGTTTGATTTTGCTTTTTGTAGTGCAATATTATTTTTAAAAAAATTGGCATTACAATTTCAGATGCCTTTCTGCAAAAAAAAACCCGCAATTGCCATGAAAATAATGTTTAGATGAACTGGTTGCTTATCTGATTTTTTTTTCCCTAATACTTGTTAGGACACTTTAAAATAGCTGCAAAATTGCTGTAAATCTTTTTCTATACTATTTTCTACATATCCTGATACTCTTGTTCTGTCCATTATCCAGATGTTCTTCATTACCAAGGCAACTCTCTGGACAGCTGCAACAATGCTGGGAAATGCCACCTGAAATTGGAAGACAATATCAAGTTTTCAGAAGAGATAATATTTTGTTTTATTAGTTTACAATAAACTGTACCATCTTCAGCAACAAATAAATGAACTTTTATTAGAGACTTTTATTACAGAGACTTTTATTAGCTGTGTGGCTGGCATGTGTTTGCATGCCTAGTTTTGCAATGAGGGTCATGCTTCTTAACAGGTAAGTACAGAATCTCAAGCAAACAGAAACGTGCTTCCAAAAGCACATATATATGTGTGTGTATAAATATATGTTTATATTAAAAAGAAGTGCTTAAACAGAAGCACTCCTTTTGTATAAAAAAGGAACACTTTTAAACAGACGTGCTGCCTTTAGGTACACTGAACTTTTAAAGTGTAATAAAATGCAGAATTTTATCAGTACTAGTATCATTTATAATATAGAAATGGAGTTAGTGCTAATTATGTGCAGAAAATCTGACAAAATATCCTGCTAAATGAACATGTAGGTGTCCACCTCAGTGACTGAGCAGTTAGTTATCTTCATCACAGGTGAGGTAATTTTGCACATGTATTTGTGTTAGTACTGTAACAGCATGTTTCATGTGTAATAACTGGGCCTAAATATCTTCCCTGTTTTCTTTCAGAGATCTTGATGCAGACTGCAGCAACAACCAACAACACTGGGTAAGTCCTCTTACTGCAGCCCCTCTCTCCCTTCCATATTAGAGTGTTTTCACAGAAATGTCTTGTTTGAAAGAATATGGATCATTATTTCTTGTCAGTCTGTCTCATGTATCATAGTTTCTATGTACTGGTTAAGAAGATGACCCATCCCTGGCAGTGTTCAAGGGCAGGTTGGACAAGGCCTTGGGTGATACAGTTTAGAGCGAGGTGTCCCTGCCCATGGCAGGGGGGTTGGAACTTGATGATCTTAAGGTCCTTTCCAACCCTAACTATTCTATGATTCTATGGCAGAGCTAGAGGGGTCTTCTACAACAAAAATGTGGCCAAGTTCACCTCAGTTGATTTCTATCTGAAACAAACCCACCAGAGATTCAAGCAGGACAATCCTAAGAGCCTTCAAAGTAATTTTGTAGGTCAAAGTACAAAAACCTTTTGTTCTGTCTGGATAGACACAAAAATGCCTGAGATACTGAGTGTTGGTTTCTGATTAAATTCTGCAGCATTTGGTAAAATAAATCTGGCCTTTTAAAGGTAGAATATATAGTGTATAAAATTATATGTAAATCAAACAGTTTTGCCTTAGTGAAGCTTGGTTAAAAAATTCTCTAGAAGCATAAACCACAGGAACAGAAGCTGAAAAAAGCATTAATTGAAATTCATGCCTCCGGAATTTATACATTTATATAACAAGTGTGTTGTGCTCTTTCAAACTGGTGAGCTAGTCTTCGCTTTGCAAAGATGATCCACTGCCTCCCCCCACTCCCCTTAATTTCAAGTAAAAACCATCTGCTTCTCTCTAGTGGTTACTTTTTAATTACCTTGAGTGCCCTAATTCTGTTGTTAAGAAAGTTTGAGGTTTCCAAGTCCAGTTATATACTGAAAAATTGCTAGTTTGTGAGCTAGAACTGAAGTCAGAGTATTGATCTCAGAAAAAAATTACTTGTAGGGATTTTCTCTGACAAGAAAGAATGACTTTTAAGGCCTCCAAAGATGCAAAATTCTTTCAGTGACATGCATTAGTGATAATCAGTGTGTGTTGCTATGGTTCAGTAGAACTCAGCACTGAACTTCACAAAACTCTTTCAACCTTTCCTCTCTAACTGTATAAATGTGAAAGTAACAATAAATCTTGTTGACAATTACTTCCACATCTACTGGCAGTCAGTCAGCTGCAATGTGAACAGTACTGTGCACAATATGTGCAGCACAGCCAACACCCATTAACTATCTCCCTAGTTTCTCCTGTGATTTAGAGAACATGTTATTTTTCCCCAGTGAGCAGCCCTTTCAAATGTTGAATTAGTAATATTAGCACCAAATACTACTAATTTGTCAGCCAGGCTGTGTTTTTCCAAAGTGTTCACAATGGGGTCTGATAACTGCTTTGTAGTGAAGCAGAGCAAAGATGAAAATTCAAAAACTTTTGTAAATCATTTGTATAAGATGTAAGTGCTGTATATTTTTTTTTTTACTGTTAGAATAATGTGTATCTAAAAAAAATTAAGAAGTGGAATTTCAACCCTATTCAGCAACAAATTCAAATGCATGCTAAAATGGAAGCATATGCATTAGTTCTTTCAATAAAAAGAAACATTTTCTAACAATATGAATACTTGTTAAAAAAAGGGTATTGTCAGGACCTCTGTATTTTCAGACTTTAGTGGCTAGCTTAAATAATATTTATGAAGAAGAAAAGAAACCTCTGCTATAAATAAGAGATTTCTATTGTATATCATTCATTGATTGCTTGCATACAGTCTTCATTGACATCAGTATGAAATCTGAGCAAACAATTGTGTAGCATATGAAACTGAAAAGCACAAATGGTTGATGGTCTATTTTTCTAATCAGTTTTCCCATGCAATTCTTACAGCCAAATGGACATTCACACTTATATGTAAAGCCATACGCATATGGATAGATAGACCTGTATCTAATTTTCATAAATACATAGCTACCTACTATCAGAAAAACATGACATTCAGTAGACAACAGAGATTTGCTGTGGACATCTGAAAAATTAATTCAGCTTCTTTCATTTCATGAAGTTGTTTATTTTCAATTCATGTTTGTTAAATACATCATATGAATGATATGTAAGTAGGGGTTGTTACAACTAAAGCTATCCATAGTTCTCCCCATTGCAAAATTCACAATAGGTCAGCATTAAGCTGACTGATTTAGTACAAGGAGAGAGATGGAGCCACTTTGGTGGCTGGGGAAGATGTACAGGAAGCCTTTTTGCCACAATAGTCTAAAATGTTGGAGGGAAGTTTGTGAATTATATGTGATTATCCAAGGAGTTTTGTCCACATCTGTATAGCACTATTTTTAAAGAGAAAAGGTGTAATTGAACTGAAGACTGGATGGCATTATAGGAATACCGACTGCAGGGAGAGCCTATGTTACTGAATAGCTTTGTTACCTTGCACCCCCTGGAAGGTTCCTTACTTCCAGAGGACTAGAACGTCAGCTTATAATGTAGGAAAAACTGTATTTCATTCCTAGTGTGTCAATATTGAATTGAAAACAAAAAAAAAAAAAAGAAAACCACTGGGAGTGAGGACTGTGAGGAAGGTTCTGTTCTGGGAATTATCACTGATTTCTTGACTCTAGGCCAATCACTGGCAAACAGTTTCAGTGCTATACAAACTGATATCTAAATCCATTTTAGACAACTGGCACAATTAACACCCACTGTTCTCCCCAAAATAGTGACTCAAAGCAGTTCCTTACAGATCTGATAATTTGGAGAGAAGAACATTGCCCAGGGATTCTGGAAATAAAATAAATTTTATTACTCTCTAAAATGTGGTCTGAGGGGCTTAACATCTAGTTCCCAGTTTTGTCATTAACCTTCCTGGACCCATTGAGTACATTGTGGAACTAACACAATTTTGACTGATATTTTTTTGGCTTAGTTAGACTATATTTTTAAAAGACTGTTAAGATTTTCCATGGAAATTTTGCTATAACAAAGATGTACTGCCCCTTGCAGAATATAATAGATACTACCTCTTTCTTTCCTTTTATTTGAATTTGGATAAAAAGAGTTGGTAGAATTATTCAGTACTAGAGAGCTGAAGCGATGATACTGGCTGTAAAAACTGCCCCTGTGCAAGAATGTTATGTTTTTATTGAAGTCTTCTGCTTTATAGTCAGAAATTGCCCTGTTTTTAATTCCCTCATAAGTATCACAACTAAAAAGAAGGGGAGAAAAGGAGAATATAAGAGTATATGCTGTAAATGTTATGTTCACATATTTTTTCCCCAGAAAGAAAAGGAAACTGCTAGAAATGTTGATTTGTTTTAAACCTTTCAACAACTGGAGATTATTGAAATACTAAATTACTGGCACACAAGAGAACTAGATGATTGTTGTTCCACATTTACAACACGAACCAAATGATGGCTTCGAAAAAAAACAACAGCAGCAAATATTTTCAGTCTTAATTATCAGGCTGAAAAGGCTGATGAACAAAAGAGATAAGGGGGGTAATGTGCGGAATAGTGAACAGAAGGACAAACGTTAAAAAAAAAATCAAGCCTTTGTCAGACTCAAAAAGAGAAGCAGACTTAATTATTATTTTCTCTTCATTTCATTTTGGGAGCTTTATCTGAAACTATAACTTACAAAGAGCAATTATAAACAAATGGCACCCAGCATGAATACTTCTCTGAGGTTTGGTCGTCTCATCCTTGGCTCTTACATCAGCACAATGATGTGTTGCCCATTGGAAACCAGCATGACTAGGAGTGTAGAAGAGAAGCCATGCAGTGATTTAAACCTATAGCTTCATTTCTCTGCTCCATATGGAATTGCAACCTGGACAATAGTATCGATCCATTAAAATGAAGGGCTTATTCCAATGGAACCTGACTAGATTAGTTAAAGTATTCTGCAATTCAAGGAGAACAGCAGAGAATATGGAAATAATTTCCTAGAATAATCCAGAGACTTACTTTATGCTTCTGATATAGATCGCTGGGGAAATAATTTAAAAGCATTTTTAAATATCTTGCATTTTCTATTATGAGCTTTTGGATTTCCACAGTTTGAGAGAAGTGAGACTTTGTGGCTTAGAAAACTAATTACAAAACATAAAAATGCTCAAGTCTAATGGAACAAATCAGAGAGAAAAAAAATTTCCATATAGAAAGATCAATGTTGGAATGGAAGCTACAGCTTTTACGTGTCTTCCTCTCAACATCTTTGTTATATGTTCTCTTTGTTCCTGTTAGCTTACTAATTAGCTGTGATTTTTTTTTTTTTAATGCCCCTTACACTGGGTTAATTTTGTCTTACTCAACAGCAGGGGTTTGTGTAATAATAATTCACATAGCAATGTCAATGATTAAAATCCTTTCATTAACATGGTACCTTAAAGATAATGAATGTGAAGCTTTTAGCTAACCCAATCTCTAGGCTCAGAAAGGCAGTTTTTGCAGAAAATAAAAAAAAAATAAAAATCCTTCTACAGATTAGCTTTTGCCAGCAGAACAAATGAGAT